ATTTAGACAAATGTTACGGATACGGTAAAGCACTCACAACATTAAATATACGACTGAACATAAATAATCCTATGTAAAACACCTCTGAGACTGCTAAGTAAACTTAATGTCTCCTACATAAAATTGTAATGGGGATTTCACCATCTGTAATATATAGATTCCGGCACCATCAGCTGCCACTATTCCAGTGGATCAGTCGACATGTGACCTTTCTCTAATGAAGTATGTGGAGTTTATAAATACATCAACATTTATAGAAGATCGACCTTGCCAATAGATAACTAGTGAAGATACAATCATTTTTCTCTTCAGATATCTAATTATACATCGTTGAAATTTAGCAGCATAGTGAGTTAGATAAGTATCGACAAATACAGTACATCACACCAATAAATGAGAATCTACAAGAAATGTTAATGAAAAAAAGTAAACATGTTAACATGGTTCTCGTTCATAACTTGTTTAAATGGACGTAACGAACGGTCAAAAGATTTCTCAATGCAAAAAGCTAAACATGAGTAGGTAATACATTTGAAGGTAATCACACAGGAGGCCCACGGGCCTTCACAGTTATCTGAGTACCTGACTCTAAAAACCTTAAGTGTGACAATGGTAGTGGAAACAATGTTTGAATACTTAAAACAGTGCTCTATTTTAGGTTTAGTTTAAACATATTTTATTCCCAAAAAACAAGACATATGGATTGGGCACAAGTTATATCAACATTATCGACGCCCTCTCCAATCAATATACATATAAATTTTAAGGCAATGACATACAAGAACAAGATAATGAGGTATGATATACATGTAACAATATATCATTATAATTTTATACGAAGCTGGTTTCTTAAAATGTAAATATATTGCTGGACCTTATGTAAATTTGCAATATTTTATGGGATAAAAACAACAACAAACTCTTTTGCTGACTGTACAAGAGACACATTAGGTAATACACATGTTAATATAGATTTAACATTAGATACAGTCAAGCAAGATAAGGAAGGAAACTTTATAGTATAAGTCAATTTCTCAAAATCACAAATATCAATACCGGCTTTTTGTCTCAAGCAATCGCATATTCGATATCGCACCTGTTCAAAACATAGAACATAGACCAAGAGAAGTTCTGAATATAGTCACACTATTTACCGTTTTACAGTCGTTCCAGGAATGTTTCAGCAAGTGGAAAATATCAGAGGTTTACACTCGCTATATTTTTTCTTATTCACACTAAGGCCATTTTATAATAAAAACGTAAGTGCATGACTAGCTGTACAGTGAATCCTGAAAACCACACTGTTAAATTGATAATACTTTCTGTCATTACACATTCACTGTAAATGAGACCGCTTAAGGCCAAGCGATGCTCACTTCAAGACACTGATCCACAAAATCACCATTTTAATTGCATGTGTTTCACAACGCCATCTGTTCCACTTAGATCAATATCGCTATGTAGTTTTTATGACACATTTAAGTTTCTTGATGTCCCATTGTTTTATTGATCTTACAGACAGATATATCGTTCTGCTGTTTTTGTATATTTGGTGGCGTGAGGTTGACTATTACCGTATATTCACAATATACAATGTACCTGTCATTTAAATGCCTATATTTATCCAGATGCCTTTAGACAATGAAAACTAAAAAGAAAATACCAACATGTCAGCAGAATTATTATTTCCAATTAAAATTCAATAGAACTAGTGCTAAACATGAACAAAAAAAAAAGACTTACACGGGGACTCCTGAACAACTAACAGGGAGAATAAGACCAGGTGTTCCAGAACTATAAACGTCTTCTGCGTCGTTGACGACACCCGCCTTGTAAATCTTGGTCAATCCAAGTAATTAATGTCTGTTCTCAAAGGGGGAACCAGGTAAACAACAACAGAATTACAAGGTACACTAACAACTACCAAACACCTCCAGCTTTATAGTGTACGTTAACGAGCACTAAACACCTCCAGATCATATCGTTCACTAACGAACACTTAACATCTCTAGATCATATCGTTCACTAACGAACACTAAACACCTCCAGATCATATCGTTCACTAACGAGCACTAAACACCTCCAGATCATATCGTTCACTAACGAACACTAAACACATCCAGATCATACCGTTCACTAACGAGCACTAAACACCTCCAGATCATACCGTTCACTAACGAGCACTAAACACCTCCAGATCATATCGTTCACTAACGAACACTAAACACCTCCAGATCATACCGTTCACTAACGAGCACTTAACACATCCAGATCATATCGTTTACTAACGAGCACTAAACACCTCCAGATCATATCGTTCATAAACGAACACTAAACACCTCCAGATCATATCGTTCATAAACGAACACTAAACACCTCCAGCTTTATATCGTTTACTAACGAACACTAAACACCTCCAGCTTTATATCGTTCAACGAAATATAATGTTTCCCAGTGAGGTTATAATGACGACCATAGAAGTTTCCTTTAACCCTTATCAACCTATATCCTTCAAAAACTTGTTGTGATTTTATTTGTCAGTTGCCGATATATAACACGATTTTCGTGATGTTTTGTACAAGTCATTAAATACATTTTGAATTATTTGCGAATTCAGGTTAACTTAATTTTAAATAAAGGCAAGTCTGCCTAATTCGTTTCATTTGCAAACTTTCCTTTGGAACCGAAACAGTGTTTAAACTGATTAAAAATGCGTTATTAACTGTAGGAATCTTTTGACAATGACACGTACATAACAATAACCATGTTAACAAACATGTCCTATCTTAATAGTAAGAACGTAAGAACGTTGTCTCATGAAAATGTTGAGAAGGCCCTCCTTCTGTTAATGTTGACCTTAACCGTACTTTTGTATTGGAGATCTTTGTACATTCCCTACTGTAAGTCCAGATTATTGCATGAATAGCAATTCAGTTAGGAAGACGAGCCGTCTGATTGGGTAATAAAACGTCTTCACGTTGCGCAAGTGCATAACAACTAGAAAACATCACCTTGGGAACATCATCCAATTGAAATTCATTAAACCTAGGACAAAAAATATTTTTTGTTTTTATTTAGACTTTCATGTAAGATTTACGATATGAAAAATGAATATGTTTAAAAAAATCAATCTTATCGATATATTGCCATGTTTTCGAATTATGGCGAAGACACATATTGCGTTACAAGGATGTAGCATACACTGTGGTAATAACAGTGTTAATCTCCCTCGTCCTTCTATAAAGATTTGAAGCAAAGTGGAATCGATCGTATTTACAACGCATTATTGTTGTCTTGAAATATGCTGTAGGCCTTACGGAAGCTGCTCAAAAGCATTCGCTCCTTCTAGTCCCTTACGGGAGACTTGTGAACAAGTATTGACTTTGGAACATGGCTACAATGTCGCTATCTTTCCAAACCCGTCTTTAAAAGTCAGAACTGATGTAAACTGTCAATACCAGAGACTTAATGCTTTTCAATTTGACTTTCTTTCAGCGCACATATGGCTTCATAGAAAGCACGCGGTGCTTATGTCAAGGCTTTAATCGGTTTTTTTTAAAAAAATGTTTAAACACTGTCTCCTGTAGAATTTCTGACATACTCCGGAAAGATATGTCGACATAAAGATGTTGTGTCTCATTCAGTTGTTCATATAATCTCAGGTTTTTGACTTCTGAATCATACAGCACACCGCGTAACTTCACAGTGTAAAAAGCGCTGATCATCGATGCATACCTGATTTTGCCGTTCGTAGAACAGAATAGAACCATTATTGTTTTTTCGTTAAACTGTTCTACTTTTGTGCCTGATCTAAGCGATTTCCGTGATTGGTGTATAACAATCCGTTAACCACTTGGTATTTATTTATTTAATTGACATCGTATTTACGGAGAATCAATTCCAAAACAGTTGTGGGTTAAATATCAAAGTGTATAATCAATAAAACCTTAAATTAACCTTACTGAATTTACAACACATCAGTAAAGATAGTATAACCTTACTGAATTAACAACACACCAATAGAGATAGTGTAACCGTACTGAATTCACAACACATCAATAAAGATAGTGTAACCTTACTGAATTCACAACACATCAATAGAGATAGTGTAACCGTACTGAATTCACAACACATCAATAAAGATAGTGTAACATTACTGAATTAACAACACATCAATAGAGGTAGTGTAACCGTACTGAATTCACAACACATCAATAAAGATAGTGTAACTGTACTGAATTAACAACACATCAATAGAGATAGTGTAACCGTACTGAATTTACAACACATCAATAAAGATAGTGTAACCTTACTGAATTAACAACACATCAATAGAGATAGTGTAACCGTACTGAATTCACAACACATCAATAAAGATAGTGTAACTGTACTGAATTAACGACACATCAATAGAGATAGTGTAACCGTACTGAATTTACAACACATCAATAAAGATAGTGTAACCTTACTGAATTAACAACACATCAAAAGAGATAGTGTAACCGTACTGAATTTACAACACATCAATAAAGATAGTGTAACCTTACTGAATTAACAACACATCAGTAAATATAGTGTAATCATACTGAATTTACAACACATCAATAAAGATAGTGTAACCTTACTGAATTTACAACACATCAGTAGAGATAGTGTAGTCATACTGAATTAACAACAGATCAATAGAGATAGTGTAACCTTACTGAATTTACAACACATCAGTGAAGATAGTGTAATCGTATATAATTAATAACACATCAGTAGAGATAGTGTAACCTTACTGAATTAACAACACATCAGTAAAGATAGTGTAATTTCATGATATACGGATAAAACATGAAGCCAAACCACAAAAGTAAAGATAATGTAATGATACATGTTTTAAAGTTTAAATATTACAAAGTTCGGTTTACCTCCATTATTGTGATATCTGAAGAAGAATATAAACATTACACTATACTGCATACTGCTTGTTAACGATTTGTTTTGGTTGTTTACAGGGCATTTGGATACCATCCCCTGGGTATAGACCAAATGTTAATCAGCCTTGACTCAGAAGGAACTTTGATTTGGGAACCTGGTATTGTAATGCAAACAATATGCGAGGTGAATATCGCCAAGTACCCATTTGACAGCCAGAACTGTGCAATACGTGTGATGTCTTGGATGCACACAAACAAATCAATGATTGTTGTTGTAGAGAAAAACAGTGTTGACATAACAGGTTACTACCCTAATGGAGAATGGGATCTGTTTACTACTTCCGTGAAGGCGTATTCCCCCGAGGACGGGTCCTATAACAGCGGGGAGATACTCCCCGGGGCGGAAGCCATATTGGAGCTAAGACGTCGGCCGGTGTACTACATCATCTCCACTATATTACCAATATCAATGCTGTCACTACTTAACGTTCTGGTGTTCATGTTACCCATGAATACAGGCGAGAAGATGACACTTGCTGTTACGGTCTTACTCTCATTTACTGTATTCATGAGTGTTGTCAATGACGTCATGCCGAAAACGTCAAACAGCATCTCCATATTAGGTAAGCTTATACACAGATTTTGTAACTTGTCACATGTACAGTATCAAATGGTTTCAATTTTATTAGGGTTAAACGGGCAAATGGTTCTTATGTCACGAGGGAGCTGTTGTCAGCTTTTGGTCGCTTTTTATAAAAGTAATGATTGAGATATCATCCCGAGGGTATGAAATGATGTTGCCAAACAAAAATTGCTCTGCTGTGAGATTTCCCTTCATATAGAGAAAGGAATTTCAACTTCGTTTGACATGGGATGCAGAGGGGATAAAGCAATTCAATGTTGTGTACGACAGCGGTGAGGTCATACTAAGGGCCTACACGAATTACTATTATCTAGGATCTATTATAAATGTAACAAGGAAATATATTAATGCATTCAATTAAAAGCGGATTCCATTCACCTGAAAGCTGGAAAAAATGAGAAATAGATGTAACTAGACATAGCAATTTAAAGTAATACTACGACACATGTTGGAAATAATAATCTCTGACACTGTTATATTTTACAAATGGATGTTCAGTTACCAACAGGCAGGTTGACTCCTGATTCCTTGACGTGTGTATCACAAATATACTAAAAGGATAAAGAAACGTAGGGTGAACTTTAAACCAGAAATTAAGTATGATATCGGGCTTCATTTAAAACGAAATTTTGTATACTTACAGATAAATTAAAGCTTAAAAATATCCAAAGTCTGTATTTTGCATCTGACAATTTGTTTAGAGGTACTAAGGATTAGATTGAATGGACCCATAGGATTTTGAAATTGAAATTGAACTGAGTCATCAATATCTTGTGTGTCCGCCGTTTGCTGTGTTCACGGCCCTTATTCTTCTGGTCATAGAGTTCATGAGAGCGTTAATCCGTCTTATGGGGATGTTGTCCCACTCTTCAATCAGAGCTCTGGTCAACTGCTCTCGAGTAGCAGGGGGTGGCTGGCGCTTTCGAACCTGTCTATCCAACTGGTCCCAAAGATGCTCGATCGGGGACAAATCAGGGCTATATGGAGGCCAATTTAGTGGTTGAATGTTGTTGATGGCCAGAAAGACTTGGCAAATCCTTGCTACGTGGGGCCTAGCATTATCCTGCTGGAGGATTAGATAATGCTGCTGTAAGAAAGGGATAGCATGGGGTCGGAGGATCTCATCTCTATACTTAGCTGCTGTTAAATTGCCATCAATAACAACCAATTGTGATTTAAACCCGTGTGAGATTCCTCCCCACACCATTACTGAACCGCCCCCAAACCTATCCCTCTCTACAATGCAAGCGTCCGTAAAATGTTCGCCACGACGTCGGTAGACACGTTGACGGCCGTCAGATCGATAAAGACGGAATCGAGTCTCGTCCGTGAAGAAAACTTGTCTCCACTGCCTCAGTGGAAACCGTCGTGGAGCATGTGCAGCGACCCAGGCCATACGACGCTGACGTCGAGCAGGGGTAAGGTGTGGACCTACGTAGGGGCGACGTGCTCTTTCACCAACTTCTCGTAATCGATTCCTTACAGTTTTTGAACTGATAGGACGCCCATGATTTCCACGAACATTAAGTGCACCCTCAACGGCTGTAAGGCGCCGATTACGCACATGAGACGACGATATAGCGATCCTGACGTCGTGACGTTACGCGCGGACGTCCTGACCTAGGTCGATCGGCCAATCGCCCAGTTTCCCGAAGACGTCTTACAAGACGTTCTATGGTGGAAACATTAACACCAAAGTGCCTAGCAACCTGATTTTGCAGCTGTCCTTGCATCAGCATCTGAATGGCCTGACCCCTCTGAACTTCTGTGAGTCGTGCCATTCTTAAAACGAATCAAATTCTCAATTAATTTTAGGGAAGCAGTTGGTCTGTATAAAGACTAACGAAGAGTGACTTGACCAACGCTGCATGAGACCAGAACAACACGGTGCACAATATTCTTGTTTTTTCCTTCCTCCATTTACCAGAGCTGCGCACTGTACCGTGACTAAATTTTCGATACATGACCAGGTGTAATATGACCTAATTACTCAATCCACAAAGTTTCACTTTATTTGGAGAACGCGTTTTCAAAATATCGGAATAAATATTACCCTGCGTTTCTTTATCCTTTCAGTATAGATAATGACTGCCTAAGATTTTGAAAAAAAATGTCCCTTTCCCAGGTGTTTAGAACATTTCAGCAGTTACCCTCGGCGATGTCTTGGTACATTTAGGTGTATACTTAGTGAGTAGCTTCAAAGGAATATATAGTTAAATCCAATCGAATTCCATACAAATATTAGCAGGATAAAACAACGAAAATGAATTTGCGATAATGACAAGCGATAACTAGTTTTTTAAAACAGTTTCTTTGTATGTCCATGGTTGGCTTTTCAGTTCAGGAAAATAAATTTGACTTTTTTTCAGCGTGAAGAACGCTAAAAGATGTGCATACCATTACAATACACTATCGTAAAAAAAACTATTGTCAACCATTTGCGTGTGTCAGGAAAGGTGGTATATTAATACCGGTGTTCCAAAGACTGCCATTTGACTTGGGCATTGAGTAATCATATTTCCAACCACTCCTATTTCATTACATTAACAGTGAAAAAGACATCATTTATGAAATGTTCTGTCAGACATTCAAGTGATTCCATCCACTAATGATAGATGATTTTTAGGATGAATTCTAAATTGATTCTTTTTTTTTTTTTTTTAATGATAAGATTGTAATTTACGGATTAATGGAATATGGAGAAGAGAGATGTATTTTTGTGACTGTTTAGGCAAAATATCTGCAAATATTTCAACGTTTTCATTTAGAAAAATAATTAAGAAACTGACTACTATGCCGTGTTGTTCCCCCAGTTTGTAGATAAATAACACACATTTCGATCCATGTGTGATATGCATGTCAAAAATGACGATTTTTTTCTATAAATACCGTTTGAAAGCCTACAAAGGCTTGAGCAGCTTGTTTCCCTTATTTATGTAGGGAGGGAGTTCTGTCGATCATCGACTCCAGGCCGATATATAAAATGTTGATAGAACGTCAGAATAATTTGGACTACGAGAAATGTTTGATATTTTGATAAAACAAGTGACCAGGCTCTATCGGTTGGAAAGATACCTTAACTGAAATAGAGTTGTATGTGTTGTACTGCATGATTTTAATATATCGTTGACGTTTCCCTCACTTCTCTATATTCTGATATCATGTAGTGTTCATTATCAGTTTCTTTAACAGTGTTAGAAGGATCCTATTCTGTCTAGAATTAATTGAATCGGACGTCCATTCAATAGCTTGCTGTACAAAGAGAAAATTGTCTCACAAATCACAAACATCTTTTTCAATTTGTTAATTAAAGACCTGAAGTTATATTGATTTTTTGACCCAGAAAAATGTCTTAAAACATGCCTTTTGCAATGAATGATGACTTAGCATGACAATAGTCGACAATATACCGTGCAAGTGTTAATGGCAAAAAGAAGAACACGATTCATTTACTGTATACATATAACAGGCTTCTGTATCAAATGTGTCTTCAGAGACGTTACCAATTTTACACAAAACGCTGCGAGTAATTTGAAGTATAAAAAATTTGACTCTGCAGCACAATTAAAACCGTGCAAAATGAACCTCGCAGAATCTATAAGTCAATCAGACACATCAGAATTTTACAGCTCTTTTAGTGCTTTGACGAATAAGATTGTACTTCTAGCAGCTTTGAGTCTCTAAGTTGGGCGCCCAGTATAACAAAGACTCCCTTATAAGGTCCCATGCGTACAGAACCTATAATCAGAATAAAGCGTATCCTCGGATTATCCTCAGGGATGTTACTAATTTACACTAAAACACTGATGGCACTCTGAACTATAAAAAATCGGATTCTTCAACACAATTACAACAATGCAAAATTAAACTTACGGATTTATTTAGTCAATCAGGCACTTCGGATTTTTTTAAGATTTCAAAAAGCGGAACTAAAAACTGTAAAACTGCAATGTTCTTATTATTGATAGGAATTACAATAGTTCTCTGACTAATAAAGTTTATACTACCAGAAGCTTTGAGCCCCGAAACTGTAAAACTACCAACGTTTTTATGGTATGGAGTGGACGCTGTGTTGATTGATATATGGTGGTGAAACAAAAGGACAGTTAAGACAACGTATGAATGGTCATCGTTCAGCAGTGAACCGCGGAGAGAATAAATGTTTGTATCAACATTTCAACCTCCCGGACAATTCCATACTGTCGATGAATGTCCGTATTTTGGAAACAAAGTCAAGACCTTACAAATAACCCCACCATCCTTCCGTAGACAACGTGAGAAACAATATATTAGACTCCTTGGCACTGCTGCGCCATATGGCTACAATGACCGTGTGGACTCTGTAGGAAATTTGACCAGTCCTTGATGCAGCAACACTAACGTTATGGCTTTATTCACTCCTCAAACTAGACTTAATCGTAGCCACGGACAGAGGCATTACAATAAATCTAGCGGATATAATGGATATATAAATGGATATATAATAGAAAATCAAATGGATACAGAAACCACTAGGTTCTTTAAACCTGTCCGTACAGATGTTTGCGATCCTCCAACAACTCGCCAGTTTATGAATGTTGAGTTTGTAAATAAAGCAGTTGATGCTATAGACATCAGTAATATATTACACTAGAAGTCTGCTCAAACTTTTCATGAAGGGTTCTAAATATCGTGAAACCCCGATGGTTAATTGGAATGTAAATTTCAAGATACTATGTATTCTGTTGAAAACTACGTCAGAGAATGGGCGAAACGGAAACATGCGGTGTTGGATTCACTTTCTGGGTGGGTTAAGTCTATTCGGTCCATCATTCGTTAAATAATATGCAGCTTGAAAAAAAAAAAAAAAACACAAGTCAGCTTTCCTTGATCCTGATGTTATATCCACACTTCAATATTCACATGACAGGTATGTTATTGCGCCTGCAGATAAGGCGTCCAATAACTTCACCCTGTATACAAAAACCTGGGCTTGCTTGA